GCGGGAAGCGGGAGCGTGGGGGGGGAGGACAGGGTCGCGGGGCCTTCCCTTCCCCCTGCGTTCGTCCTCCTGGTATAGAACCCTTTCTGCTGCGTCCACAAAATATCCGCAGACTCGGATCGAACGGGGTCGTTGTCGAGGGCACGGGGGCACCGCGTGGGGCGCACGCTCCAAGGGGCGGGCACGCGGCGGCGCGTGCACTCGAGGGCCGCATCCGGCCCCGCTGCTCGCCGGCCCTTTCAACGAGACGTGCGCCGCTGCCGCGCTCCTCAGCCCTTAGCGAGCGCCGCATACAGCCGCCGCCACGGATGGGATCCAGAGACAGTTCAGTTCTGGGTTTTGAGTTGCGGGCGCGACGCGTGCATACAGAGCACCCACCGCACCGCGTCGCCGTCGTCGTGCTGGTGCAGCACGTCGTCGACGACACATACACACACACACGCGCGCGCGAGGATGCGATAGACTCACCGCCTCACCGGGACGCGAACCAGCGACATCACCGCCGCCGCCGCAGGGGCCGTCTTCCCTTACTTTGCTGCCCGTCACCTGCGAGAGGAAGTAAAGTGTCATCGTGGAGGCCGTCATTTAGAGAGGGGGAGAGAGGCACCCGGCTGTTCCCCTCCCCTACCCTCCTCCTTGTCGCATTTTTAAACTTCATTCACCGGCCCCCCGTCCCCGCATGTGTATGAATGAGACCGCGAGTCCCCGAGCAGCCCATGGAGCAGAGAGTAAAACAAGTACAATAAGTATGGAGAGAAGACCCTGTTGAGGGATTTAACTTTAAGTACTCTCTTTGTCTTTGAACACTTTTATTAGAATGATCACGGTCTTTGAAAGCGGCCCATTCACTTTTGTGAAAGTGGATCAACCATTAACGTGTTGAGTCCCACGTTGCCACATGTATGGCCACAACAGCATGTAAAATGGAACCCACCCGCCCTGCGTTAATAGAATAGTTTTTGTGTGTGTCTGAGTGTCTGAGTGTGATGAACTAAATTTTGTAATTTATAACGTAACTTTGCCACAAAAATATCTACGAAGCCAGGCACACAAGTTTCCATTTCTTTTCTGATAGGGCATGTTCATGCGAAACCTGACTCTTTGATTGAATCTAATGTGGTGCATTGTTTTCCCACAGCATTGTGCTTGAAATGGTCAAGTCAAAATTTGTCTAAATGCTCCAATTTTTAAGTGAGCGATTTGACAAGTAATTTGACTCTTCTTCATGGCAGTAGGCCTACATACCTTTGCATGGCGATGATGGCGATGCTGAGCTCAGTTGTGCACATTTGCTAACTCGAGTGACGCATTTTCTGTGAGAATTTAAATACAACAATTTGTAAAAATAAAATGTTTTAAGTCGCGTTAAACGAAACACCGTCATAACCACGTTTCGTTTCAACCACTGTTTCTTTCTCTTTCTTCACTTCTTCTTTTTTTTCTCTCTCTAGCCAGGCGCCATTATTTGCAGAAAGTTGATATGAGAAATTGTAGTGCACGTGATCATTCGGTACAGGTTTAGGTTATGTACAGTGTTTGGTGAATCGAGTCATAGAGTCTTTCGTCCTTTCGTTCGTTATTTTAAGGTTCTAGACTAGAGGAGAGGTGTGATCATCAACAATGTCAGAAGAAAGACATGTGAAACCAAAATTGATTGTGTTTGATCTTGGTAAGTAGTATTTACTCTCTGAAGAGGTGAGAGCGTACTGGCAATACTGGTCTGGAGAGAGCACTCTTGTTTAGAAATAATACTTCATTTCTGGTTCATTTCCCTCTTAATTTTAGATTACAGCCTTTGGCCTTTCTATGTTCAAAAGCATTTGGTGCACCCTCTCTTGCAAAACAAGTAAGTTTACACGTTTGATACTTATCCCTGAGTCAATCCGCATTAGACAGCAAGTTAGCATGACTTGTTTTTATCATTTCTAGAGGGGAAATATTCGACATGCGCCTAAGGCCAGTCAAGCCTTACCCTGAGGTACCAATGATACTCTCTGAATTGAATGAAAAGGGCTATGAACTAGCCATTGCCTCCCGAACAAGTGAAATCAGAGGAGCCAATCAGCTAATCAAACTATTGGGTTGGGATAAGTACTTTAAGTACAAGGAAATTTATCCTACCAGCAAACTTAAGCATTTTTCCAAGTTTTGTGATGCCTCTCACTACAAATATGAAGAAATGCTGTTCTTTGATGATGATCATAGGAACATACAAGAACTATCTGAAGTAGGAGTGACATGTGTCCTTGTCCCTGCTGGAGGTGTTACCAAGAATTTAGTTGAAGCAGGTCTTGAACTATTCGCCCAAAATGGATACAATTGGTATGAAGACTACTAAATCTGAACTTAGGCGGTGCGTGTGTGTCGCTGCTATGATGCCATTCTGAAAGACTGCGCTTTTCCAGTAATGCTCTAGACTTCACAATAAACCAATCTGTACTTTCAGAATGTTTACTGAACTTTTAAACATTTTAAAAAGTTGACAACTACTCATGACAATTTTAATTTTTTAGTACTTTCATTATGTTTACCTAACTTTTAAACATTTTACTATGTTA